TGTAATTAGCAACGCAAATACATCATCTTCCCAAAATCCGGAATTTTTCCTTTCACATAACAATCAGACACTCCAATTTTATTATATGTATAGATAGATAGATGTATAGATGTTTAGTAAATGTTTTCAGTGGGGGCCCTCTAACGGCGGTGTTCCGCTGGAAGGTGCCGTCGCGCCCCAATGGCGTCATCCGGCAGTACGAGGTGCAGTGCTGGTCGCAGCCGGCCGCCGCCCCCGCCGCCGCTCCCTCCCCGCCCCCCAAGTCCTCGGCGTGCCCGGCCGCGCTGCTGCCGCCGCTGCACACACAGATCATGCTCAGGGATCTTATGCCGAATTCTGTTTACTTTTTTCGGGTAACTAATTATCCACCCCTTTTTGTACATGAATTTTAAATTATCGTTTCGGGAGATCTTTTTATTAAAAGTGTAGTTATAAATCTAATATTTTTCTTTTTTGTCTCTAGGTTAGAGCCTACACAGACGCCGGCTACGGCGAATTCTCTGAAGTAATTTCTGCGCCGTCCGATGAAATAAATCCAATTCCGAAAGTAATGATATCTTCACAAGAATCGATTAAGACTTTCGATTTGGACTCCGGTGATAGTGAGATCGTACCGAAGAGTACGGGGAGGCCCGTCGACTTCGTCGTCTCCACGGAGGAGAATGTCGTATACTGGGTCAACAACTTGGAGGAAATATTCTCATCGAGAATTAACGGTAGCGGGCACTATAAGGTAAAAAAGTATTTTTTATATATTGCCTACTATTTGGAAACGCATCTGCAACAATTGTTAATAGGTATAACTTTGATGAAAGACGAAATTTAAGTGATATTATCATCACCAGCTCACTATACGTCCCCACTAAGGGGGCTCGGAGCCTACCCTAGGTAAGGGGTGACTTGGCCATAGTCAACCACGCTGGCCAAGTGTCAATCAACCCGTGACATCACACATCTTTGAATTTATTCGCCGATATGTGCAGGTTGCATCACGATGTTTTCCTTCACCGAGCTTGAAATGTTCAATACTAATGAGAAGTAGCAGGCCAGGAGCAGAAATTCCTTAACAATGTGTTACTGCGATAACAATGGATTGTTTATGTTCCAAATGTATATTTTTCAGTTAACATCAATAAATGCGTCAGCGACGAGTATCTGCGCGGACTGGGTGGGGCGCGCCGTGTACTGGAGCCAGCACGAGGTGACGGCCAGCGAGGCCTACGTGGTGTACCGCGCGCGCCTCGGCCTTCC